GTTCATTCAGGATATAAACACTTAAATACATACCACCTCCAGCACCGGGCCACATGTATGCACGCACTCAAATAAATAGAGCCACTTTTCTCCATTTCAGCAATGACCTGCATTATAATCATTTCCCTCATTGGGTCAGCAAACCCCATGGCGATTCTCAGCAGACCACCTGCAATAATTCCTCTTTGAAGTTCCATGCAAGCAGGATTCTTTTAATTATACATTATAGGATGAATCCATAATATTGATGGGGTGGCCTGGCCGCCTTGGCACTACAAAGCAACTCCAAGGAAAAGCATGAGGGTTTTAGCCACTCCAGGTTCACATTACCCGGAATTAAGGTCATTTCTCTTCATTAAATTGGTAATTTACCAAGTACGAGCTCATTCCAGTTGGATGGGAATAATTTCAAACTAAATATAATGTAGGAATGCTTAAAAAGTAAATTCTATCTAACACAGTATTGACAAAAGCTAAACTTTATGGTGCAGCCCTATTGTGAAGTTTTATTGCAACAGGCACCATTATAAGATTGAGAATGAGCCTGTCGATGTTGAGGCTTATCCGGTCATAAACATGTGGAAACAAAGAGCCAGTGATCTCTCCGCACCCCTGCACTCTGCTTGTTTTTCTCCACGGAATTTTGTCATAGATCCTGCACCAATTTGGGCGTTTTGGGTCAAACAAATCAGCAGACTGAAGAGTCTGAAAACACCACCATGGTTTGAGCCTTTTCCCAGAATGCATCTGGAGCCAAAGTGTGTGTGTGAGCGACACAGAGAAGCTTCAGTTCATGGGGTCCCGGGATGGTGGGTACACTGTCCTGCCCCTCAGTCGGCTGGCTATGCTGCACTTTGACATAGGCCCCTCTCAGTGTGAAAGACCCTCATCAGTCTTCATGGCAGCAGACGGGCCAAATGCTCTTGGATTACAGAAATATTTGGACTGACCTCAATATTAATCTAAGGCTTCACTTAATAGTTTTTTCCCTTTTGAATTGCACTGGGAGCAATCAGACGCCACTAAAACGTCTGCTTCAAATATTAACACTTCTTATTTATCTCTCCTCGTTTCCATTTTCAATAAACAGCTACTGCTTATTGGTGTGTAAATCTTATGAGGTCTTAGCCACTAATCGTGCAGTATAAAGTCAGAGCCCAGCAGAATTCAAAGTATGCCATTCTGTTCTCTTTACCATTGTTAGTGTGTGTCTTGGCTGCCTTAGAGATGGCCTAGGCAAACACAGGGAGAGAAGGAAAAGAAGGGAGAGAATGCACAGGAATAAGGGGGGATTTGATGTGCTTTGAAATGCACATTGTCCCTAATAGTGCTGGGCCTTTTTATGAATGGCTGATTTACTTTAGCTGGCATTGCATCTGGTTTGGGTTTGACTTGCATCTTGTTTTGGGGAATGTGAACCCGCTCACCTCTTGGCACTATGTATTAACTTGGATATTTGCCAGTCCAAAGGCACACGTTATTTTAATTATTTTAATTTACTTAAGCAGACACTTCTTTGTAGTATGATTGTTGATTTGAAACAATCCCAACACAAACTTTGAGAAACTTATTGAACTATGACATAAGTCAGTCGTCAATTAACATTTTGTTCATTGTAATGACAGCACTGATCTGAAATGGCTTAATGATAGAAGAGACAATTGACCTGTTAAAGTATAGAACTGATATCTCACACCTCTTCAGTGGAGAATGACAGTAAGCAGTATATATTTTTTTTAATGGCCACACAACAATTTCAACCATCTGTTATAGTATATAAATAATCACAAGTAAGCATGGTGATGTGGGCTGGGATAGGAGGTTGGTGAAAACTGAAAATTTCTAAGCACTCGGTCTCAAACATTCATGAATCAATCAAAATAAACCTTGAGTAAGACCAAGATGGGGAAAGCCAATGTAAACTGGTTAAAAGCTCACAAAAGTGTATTTTGTAGGATATGTCTCCTTTTTAGTTGACAGCATCTTGTTAGCATCGCTGTGACAAATACTGTTACCTTCCAACTTCCTCTACACAGCCCCCTTCACTTAATTTTCTCCTTCCCTCTGAATTTCCCCTCTTAACCCCTGTGTGTGGGTAGCCTCAGGTTGCTGAGGTTAGGTTAAACAAGCCACCATCAAAGCCATATTACCACGCGGGTCAGGGGAGGGTCAGGGTGCAGCAGGGTGTGCGGTTTTCAGTCTCTTACTGAGGGGCACAACTGCCAGCCAAATAGTGTTGCCCTGCGCGGTTATACAAGCAGCGGTCCCATTATGCTCAGCTTTACTCCACACACAAGCACAGCTGTCTCCACTGTAGCCGGACCGAATCAGAGCTATGCCGAATGTGCCAAAGCTTCTGCAAGATGGAAAAAACTATGAGGGCAGAGATTAGCAAATACAGAGGTGCTCTAAAAATCCCAGTGTTGATGTCCATTAATCTGAAAATTGAAAATCTTTTATGTTTCTGCCAGCTGTGTGTCCAAACGTTCCATAGTGGCCTTATTGTTTGAGGCCTTTGAACCAGTGGTCATTTTATGTTCCGTCCATCTGCAGTCTTCCTCCCCAGGCTTAACCACGATGACTACAGCAAAGGCCCATTTAAAGGGTCATTAGTGTTAATCCCCCAAAACAATGAGGAAGAAGAATGAGCTTCCAGTCTGAGAATAAAGGCCTCTTGTGTGCACAGCTCATGTATGAGAAGTTTTTACTTGGACCTTGTTGTCATATAGTCAAATTAGTTTAGTCATTATTTTAATATTAAAGAGTTGTATTACGTTTGAGACTTGAACACTATCTTTGCGGACTAGTGCTGTTTCCTCACAGAGCGAGAGTGGGGCAGTGCTCTCACTTGCTCTTATCCACTGGAGTGCCCTAGGCAAGAGCAGTGTGTGGATAACACTTTGTCAGCTATGTTTACAAAACACAACTCTTGGCATTGACCTGATTCAGTCACTGAATGGTGACCTGTGATAGCTGTTTGTCACATCTTCTTTGGTTTAATGTGAACATAATCATTGTTTCTGCATAAGCCAAACAACACATCATCTGACCTGACCCTCCATATTGCAGAGGAAATTCTCATACATCTCTGCCCTTATATTTATAAAGTTATGACTTTGAAACACTGTTTACATCCACATCAGATGACACCCAAGACTTAAGGCTTTAAGTAAAACTTATTTAAACAGGAAACCAGAGATAAGATAGGTAAGGCTTCACACCATGTCACAGTCTCACTTAGCACAGTCCATCTATCATCAGGAAGGCTTCATCAAAAGTCACTGCGGCGATTCCTTTGACTTTGAAATTGACAGCTGTCAGATGATCTATGTCTGCCATTACTGGAGGTCCTCATGAGTAAACTTCAGATGACCTCAGCAGAAAGTGGATGAGGTGGAATTGAGTTAAGATGAGAGGTAACCTAAAGGACAGAGGGAGGGTTGCTTGCTTCATAACATAATGTACTTCCTGTGTGTCTTTATGCACGCCTCTTTATTAGCCTTCCCTCTCAGCCCTCCAGACACTGTAGCTATTGATAACACCCAGGCTAACCACTCCAGTGCTGCAAGGTTTGTCTCCTGTTCCACAATGAACCTTCTTATCACTTCCTCCTCTGTATGTACTGGCCTTCCTCGAGAGCCACTGACTTGTTAAATTGAATTGGAAAAGAATGCCAAGACTACACGAGTAGTGTGTTCCGTTCACATTTGCTTTACCATGTTATTCTTAAAGGTAAATGGTCATAGCAAACATGTATCTCCTGTATGTAGGATTTAGTCTGTGCAGTAGTAGTAGTGTCTGACTCAGGATGAGCTGCTGTGGTCCCTGCCACTCTGTGCTGGAGGCATGTTTGTCCAAATGCTGCCAGTGTTTGCACAGGCCTGTTGTGATGACTGTACAGCTGCTCCTACCTCTAAGGGACATCAGCCAACTATGGAAGATAGACCAGTTTGACACTAATGCAGTAATAATGAATAGATTAATGTATTCACAGAGCACTCTTCCTTAATGTCGCCATGATTTGCGTTTAATAAAATACCAGTGAAAATACCCAATTTATCACTGGGTAAGTCTGTCCTGGGCAGCCCAGTGGGGTTGTACCGGCCTCAGGTGTCATAGACCTGCTGTCTGTTTTCAGGCAATTAGCTCAGAATGGAGAGCAGCATGGTGCCACTCTGTGGTTTTGTCTACAGTGGACATTTCCTCAGGCACTGATGGACCACTCATTATTACGGCTTCATGCTTCAGCACATGCCCTTCAGTGGTTCTGTTACATATAGTAGTATTTCTGTGAACTATGCATTTGTGGTTCTAAAATAGCACAGGACTGTATCCTAAGTCCAAACTCCACTGTAGCTGGTTGTAGACAGGATGTTTAGACTTTCATGGTCAACCATGACTCCATAAAAGAGCAGGAGGCTTCAAAGTGTTGTGATGACTCACTGGTAATGTGTGATTGGCGACAGTGGCATTGGGGTTAATGTAGCGGAACCCTCTCTCCGCCTCTGTTCCCCACGCCCCCTCCCCCCAGTGTGGTCCCGTCCTTCTCACCAGCCCCGGCCACGCTTGACTCACCAGGGGTGGACTTTTGAGTGACAGGCGGAATGCGCCCTGCGATTGGCTAATGGCGAACAGTGGCCCTGGGTGTTTGAGGGTGGTCAGCCAATAGTGCTCTCACAGCACAGTTGGCTGAACAGCGGCTCTTCAGTGGAGATGGAGACTTCCCGTGTGTAACAGTGGGCTTAGTATATGAGCAGAGTATATGAAGTAGAAGGATGTTAAAAGGCAAAAGCTATGACATTTGGAGAATTCTCTAAGGTGAAATTGGATTACAGCCATTGTTTTCCATTTTTATTGAATTGCTTGATGTTATAGTTGCTGATGACATTTGACTGAAATTTTATTTGCATTTAAATTGCTTTACAATTGCGTGAGACGTTTTGTACTTAAATGCTCTCCTCGTCTTTTGCTTGACCAGTTGTAACTTTTTTTCTCCACAGTTGACCGTGGCGATAGGAGTGGCAGTGTGAGTTTGTGGTCTCCCTCCTGTGCTGCAATAATCCTCAGTTCTGCCCACCCTGAGAGCCAGCACGGGCACCATGCTGCTGCCGTGGCTGGCCTGGTTGGCCCTGCTCGCTCTGGATTGGGCCCCTGGAGGATCTGCCTTCACCACCAGGCCCCAGGGGCTGAGGGGGCGCATCCAGAGAGACCGCAGAAACATCCGGCCCAATATCATCCTCATTATGACAGACGACCAGGACGTGGAGCTGGGTAAGGCTGGAACTCTTTCTGAAATACTGTTTGTTTTTTTTATTTAATTGGCCTCCAAGTTTTTAATCAAAATATAAGCCTCTGCTTACACATTTCATCTTATTACATTCTTTGTAGCTCATTTGTGGTCTTCATCCACACATGAAATATTAAACAGAGGCCATAAGCCGGAGCAGAATGGCCATCTGGTCTATTAACATAGTGAATGATAATTATTTTGTCAGATGGAGGCTACAAAAGACTGACTCTGCTTTGTAAAAGAAATGTATTTAAATTTATTAAATAAACTAGCTCAAATAGAATAAACACATGGACAGAAGTAAAATGAACTTTATTTTTTCAGGTTCCCTTCAGGTGATGAACAAAACTCGTAAAATCATGGAAGATGGTGGCACATCCTTCACCAATGCCTTTGTCACCACTCCAATGTGCTGTCCATCACGCTCCTCCATGCTGACAGGCAAATATGTCCATAACCACAACACATACACCAACAACGAGAACTGCTCCTCCCCTTCCTGGCAAGCACAGCACGAGCCCCGCTCATTCGCAGTCTACCTCAACAATACTGGATACAGGACAGGTTGGCTACATCATTTCTTTATAAAGAATGTGTTGACTTTCTTAGATTAGATTAGAAATACTTTATTATCCTGAAGGAAATTCATTAATTCACTCTCCATAGACTTGTCAAACTAAAAACACAAAATCTGATTACACCTTGCTTTAGAGACTTGAATTTCAAGAAAGAGGAAAAACATTTATTAAAGTTTTAGTATATTACACACATTTAGTTATCTCCATTTCAGCGTTACATGACATTACACTTCATACATTCTGTTTCCAGACTAGACGTCATATGCATACCCTATTGGGAAGTAACTCAATATATGTACTGAAAATACCTATTCTGAATACAAATTTTGTGTAACTGTATTCTGGTAGAATTACTGTTTTATTTGGTGGAATTCAGAATATAGTTAGTTTCCTAAATTAAAAGGAATGTCTGATGGTACTTCATGTAATTTTGGCTTTGAACTGCAAGATATTGGTGAGAATAGAATACAAGAAAACAGAACTTGCAGTTCCTGTGTGATTTTTTTTTTTTTTTTTTTTTTTTTTTTTTTTATCAAAAAAGTGCAATAAAACTAATTATGCCATGTTTTACACTATAATATAATGGAACTCTGTGTAAAAGTATTTAAATTATTTAGAATACAGTGCTCTGATTGGACCATGTATTAGAATACATTACAAAATACATTTTAATTCAGGTATTCAGTATTCTGTGTATTTAATTCATTCAAAGTATTCTTCCCATCACTGTATACTTGTTGCCATTTGTTGCAGTTGCCCATAGTCAAATTTAGCCTAAACTTTGCCCTGGCATTGCCCTTGGTGGTCAGTAGTTTACCGTAAGCCCTGGTCCATGTGTGTGTGAGAAATGTAAACATGTGGAAAGTGCCAGTGCACAGTCATGTCTCATCAGACACTGCACGTGTGAATGACAGGCAGCCTCTGCACTGGGGCCAGTGGGATCCAGGGCCCTGCAGCATGCCTTGTGGTTTTTAGTCCTGCTACACTGCAATTAGCCTTTTCTGTGACAGCCTGGCTGTTTGCCCAGCTCATACAGAAAAATGCAGGGAACACGTACCACACATGCACATAGATAAACTCATGCAGGAGGCATGCTATTGTCATATATGGCCTATGATTTCTTTTACAACTTTCTTTTCTCTCCCATCTTCTTGGCAGCCTTTTTTGGCAAGTACCTCAATGAGTACAACGGCAGCTACATTCCTCCTGGGTGGCGCGAGTGGGTCGGATTGATAAAAAATTCCCGCTTCTATAATTATACTGTCTGTCGGAATGGTTACAAGGAGAAACATGGCGCTGATTATGCCAAGGTATGTCTTCCCATAATTTCTTTTAAAAAGGGTCTATTACCTTGATCACTCATTTGTTTTCTCAGTATGACTTAATATGTAGACTGTGCATGAAAGATTGAAGGTTTCACTGGGTTGCTAAATACAGGCAGGAGTCATATCACAATATTATCCAGGCTTGCAGAGATCCTCAACTGAGAATTACAAGGAATGAGCGAACTCTGCGTGGCGTCTTTGCACTGTGCCTTTATTATGATATATTTCAACAGTTAGATGCTGTAAAATTTAAGTATCCCAAACCACCTTTTTTACCTCTTCTGTCTTAAATTAACTCACTAAAATATATGCCGTGTGCTGCGTAAGGTAGCTCTTTTTAGCCTTTGGAAAGCATCACTCATCAAAGTATTTACCAAGCAGGCAGTCTATTTTCACAGTGGTGTGCTTAGCCTGAGATCATGCTAGATAGCAAGGTATTAAGGACATGGGGAATCTAAGAGGAAGAGATTGGATCCATGTCAAAAGGCCTGTCCAAACGATGCACACCCAAATGTTAGCGCTGCTGTTCTAGTGCCAACTTGGACAGGGGTGCAAAGTTACTCTCAAACCTGGACCAAAATGTTTACACTGTAAGGGCTTGGTCAGCATATTATGGCCTGCTAACCAAATGGACACTATTTGCTATTGACTGTGTAAAACCATGAATCTACTTTTGGAGGACAGGTCTGGGCCTTGGGAGTCTGGAAGGAACAGAGTGAGAAAGACGAGGAAGGCCACAGTGATCACAGCTAGCTGACCAAATCACGTATGATTTGAGGAGGCATTCGCTCAGATTTTCCACACGTAGGAGGATGAGTTCACAGAGGTTGACTTCTTAGACCGAGGACTTTTATTTGACATTTTGATTAAGGGTTTGTTCCATTTATTCTATAGAATCCGGATGGCCAGTCTGCTGTGCTGACCCAAGTTGGATTTACCAGGTGCCATTGGAATGGGATTCAGAATAACTATAAATAAAAGTCTGTAGTTCAAATGTTTAAATAATTAATATCACACCATCATGTCACTGTCACTTGCTACCTGTCATTTCCAAAAGGCTAAGTGTAACCATAGACCTGTTAGAACTGTTAAAAGGATTTCCTCATGACACAATCACTTCCTTTTGACCTGCCATTACCTTTGTAGCAGTTGCTCAGACTTTAGGACCTTTGGCATGAAGAACTGTAGTACCTTTTGCCATGTGAATACAATCGGCAGCCTATTGCACCAGGCCGTTAAATCTGCCCTGTCTATAAAGCCTATTAATAGAGACAGGATGCATCAGCCAAACCCACTTCTGACATTTTGAGGGAAATCACCCTTTCCCCTTTCATTCAAATGCTGGCACTCCCTTCCGTACGTTGTATGCCAGGCAGCAGCAGAGGCATGCCAGAGCAGCAGGTACTGTGTCTAATCTACTGGAAACTTTACTGTTATGATTTAAGGGTGTGAGCTATTGTATAAATTATACTGCACCAGAACTTGATAAAATGTCATGTCATCACATGTTTTCTGTAACCGCTTCCTGTGTTGAAGTCCTTTTATTGTTTATTACATGCAAATTTGAACAGTGCAGTGAGCGCTGGGATTTCCCTTTTCATTACTTTACAGTTTTTCCATTCAGGATTTACCACAACAAATGATCTGATCCTTATAAGCAGTGCATTGCCTTTTGCTTTTGGCCTTTGTTTATGATGTGTGTCCTTCCCAACACAACTCTGATATGTATAATGACCTAAGAGTTTGGACAGGCTCAAAGTATTCCCTGTAACAATTTACGGATTTATACTCTAATGCGCAGCTGAGTCATTCACAGTGGTTCCAAGACTTTTATCTATCTTCCATTGTGTGATTTAATATAATATCATGTTGTATGATTATGCAATTGAAATTGGCAAACTGAAAAAGTTGCACAACAATGAACTGGATAAAATGATGAAAGAAGACAGATACAATAGGAGAGGGGACAGGAGAGGGGGACGCCGTCATAACAGCATACCAGTGAAGACACCAGGCCCCGCTCACATCAAACCATGTCACATTGGATAGTCCAAAGAGTCAGTGATGGGGCAGCAGTACATACCCTGTATACACACACACTTGGATTTACTCTCGGGCAGACTGCCAGCTGTTGACTCGACAGATTGGTACGACCGTGCACTCAATGGCCCCGGTTCATAGCCGCTCTGCCTCTCGATTTATTTGAAAATTACTGGAAGAGGAAAACAACATGTCACAGTGATTGAAAGTGTTGCTGTGAATTACTTTATCAATGCGGCTGTTGTGCATTCTCAATAAACAAGCTCTTACTCGGAGCCATTTTTAGCACTGTCCCACCTTGTAAAAGTATTGAAAGTGTGCTCTTTTCTTTTTGCAGGACTACTTCACAGATTTGATCACCAATGACAGCATCAACTTTTTCCGCATGTCTAAAAAGATCTACCCACACCGGCCTGTGATGATGGTTATCAGTCATGCTGCCCCCCATGGCCCGGAGGACTCGGCCCCGCAGTACGCCGAACACTTCCCAAACGCCTCTCAGCACATGTAAGCTACATTCAGGATCATATGAAACCGCGCAGTCAGCGGGGAGCCTCTGTTTACTTTCTTATCCACTACGGCTGTTAGACATCCACCTCGACTCATAATGATTTTGTGTATCTAATAACATTACAGTATGCATGCCTTTCCAGCCCAGTGATGACAGGCTGCGGAGAAGCTGCTGGGGCTAGCATGAAATCAAAATGATTTATTGTCTAAGAATAGCAGGGGAAAATACCAGGGACATGATCTGAGATTTTTTAAGAGTTCTAGTCATGCCAAGCTGACCTCCCTCAGTTTTCATTACTCAGAAAGAGGCAACAGTTTGTGCTTGCTGGTTACGTAGACTGTTGGCAAATAAACTGAAATAATCCAATTACCAAAAGAGCTTTTAACAAAGCCTGAATTAAGATCCATCTTTATAAATCACCATTATGCCACTAGGCTGTCTAATCAAATTTACTTTAAATCTCTACGGATCATTTGTGGGAGCACTGTATTTACTTTGTGAAATGCTTGGCAAATATGCTTACCCTTTTGTCTAACGTGTCCTGTCTTTCTCCCATCTTTCCTCATTCACTATTGGACAGACAGAGGCCTTCCTGACCCTGTCCATATCAATCAGTAGTAGCACCAGTGTGCCCATTGCAGGGAGGAATGCATTGTGTGCTTTGAACACCCTTTGAAACATTAATTTATTTTTAGATTGGGCTGAGGGGGGCTGGTTTGTTGGGTGACTAAAAAGGGGTTGCCCAATTCGCTGTGGTTAGGTACCGAGTGTTGTCTGTGGTTGCTGTGGCAGCTTAGGTTGTTGTGCTGAGTGGGTGTATGTTTTGATGTTTTTTGGCAATGCAGCTGTATGAAAAATGTGGGAAAGTTTCATGGTTAAATGCTATAAAGCAATTTCTTTGATATATTTGTTTTGAGTAGATTGAAGGGGTTTTAGTATCCTGTTACCAGGCTACTTTCTTTGGGCTGACATGATGGCAGAGCTCTGACAGAGACAGCGTGGCAACGGAGGAGTCGCCTCATAAATCAAACCGGTGTCTGTACTTTGACAGGAACAATAGCAGGGAGCAGGTTTGTTGCTAATGCCATTAACATTCCTGACAGCAGGTATTTTCACTCTGTAGCTTAGATCCTTGCAGGCCTCTATCCCATTTTCAACACTACAGATGTGAATTGTAAGTATCACTTTTGCTGCATTAGTCTAGCTGAAGTAGCTGAAGGCAATATCTTTAAGCCTCATAGTGTCAGTGGAGTTCAGTGTGGTCGTGCTGCAGGCTGGGGTGAACAGTGGGCTATGAGCTGCTATAATCCAGCCTAATACTCTGGGCCTGTCTGTGACAGGTGGCAGGTGTGACCCCACCTATGGACCTGCTCTATTCTTCTGACCTCTGCATTCCTGGTCCCTGCTGTCCAGGGCCCCATACCATGGTGGCCTGCTGCCCAGAGACGGGTCCCTTTGTGGAGCTTATTAGACCGCCAAGCTAAGTGGGTGAAGAGTTCAGATCTCACAAAGTGAGCCTGAAGAGAAGAGGGCAGAAGGCAGCTCTGTCATATGTGTTGCTTATTGAAGGAGCTACTTGAGGCAGAATAAAAAAAATTTTCTGAAGATTTAAGACTTTTTAGGCAGTTATTTGACAGATAGTTTAGGGGCCTCACTTTGCTCCCTTGTGGCCCTCTTGTTGTTCCTGTATTTCAGATGACCATGACTTATTAGGTTTTGGTCCAGAACTTGTTGCAAACTTGACTTTGGGGCCTATTATTTTCTTAAGCATGTGCCAACCCACAAATGACTGGCCTGTGCCAAGAGCGCAGCGGAGCGCGAGAGTCTCGTCTGTGTGAGAGGAGAGGGAGCCGGGAGAGAGGTGTGGAAAAATGGCCCCAGCAGTAGCAGCTCAGTATTTGGCCATTTCCTTCAACAAACAGAGCAGCTACTGATGCATGTCAAAGTGTTGTGGACCAATGTGGCACCTGTTACTCACTGCACAGTGCAGAATGTATCAGACAGGTGCTTTTGCCATCTTGATACTGATTTAATGGAACTCTGTTGTAAATAATATCTCTTACTCTGGAACTTAAACTTAAATGCTTTGTCCCCAGAACTCCAAGCTATAACTATGCCCCAAATATGGACAAACACTGGATCATGCAGTACACTGGCCCCATGAAGCCCATCCACATGGAGTTCACAAATTTCCTTCACAGGAAAAGACTACAGACACTATTGTCTGTTGATGACTCGGTGCAGAAAGTAAGGAAGTCTTTTAATTGAAAGAAAAATTAGCAAATGCAACCCTGTACTAATCTTGTAATCCCTCTTTCAGGTTTATGAGATGTTACAAGAAACTGGAGAGCTTGAAAATACCTACATCATCTACACAGCAGACCATGGATACCATATAGGACAGTTTGGCCTGGTTAAAGGAAAATCAATGCCTTATGACTTCGATATCCGCGTGCCATTTTTCCTTCGAGGACCCAATGTAGAAGCAGGCGCTGTGTAAGTTTAAATCTAAAATAAAGTTATATATTGGTATTTTCCACAATACTCTTCCAAGAGAAGTATATCAGCATCCAAACAAATACAAAACTCAAATCAGTGTTTTTGGATTTAATGAAGTATACCTTTCTTTGTGCATGTCCTTCTCCAGAAACCCTCACTTGGTGCTGAACATTGATCTGGCTCCCACTATCCTCCACATAGCTGGACTGGACACACCTCCAGACATGGATGGAAAGTCTATCCTCAAGCTGCTGGAGCAGGACCGCTCTGGGAACAGGTCTGTGAGGCTGTCAGGGCACCAGACATTATTTACTGTAATTACATTGCATGCAAAAGACGGGCAAAACACACTGCCCTTTCTCAATTATTATGCAAAAGGAAAATTCCATGGCCAGTGATTAATTTAGCGTGTTCATAGCCTATTATATTAAATGTTTAAAATCAGTCCAAGGTTGGGATGTTTTGAATGGATCCCAAAACTTGATGAAGGTAGAGGAGAACAAGGCACATACAGTTGTTGACTGTGGAAGATATCAGCAAAAGAGCTGGTATTCAAGCTACTGCTTAGTGTTTTTTAATGAAAAAATCTAAATAATTTAGATGCTTGTGTCATCTGGGTCTTACCATTTATAGTATTGTACACTACAGAGAGGATGAGTGTTGCTGACATATTACCGATGAGTGCCCATGTGATTTTTATAAACTTTGTGCGTTTTGTTTTCCCAGATTTAAACCAAACCGGAAACCCAAAGTCTGGCGGGACACATTCCTTGTGGAGCGGGGGTAAGCTCTTTTTTTCATTTCTTCACCACAGACAAATCCATGTCATTTTAGCTCACTGTGGGTCTAACCTGACCAAACATTTGACTGGGCCCAGAAATCAACATCCAAAAAAGACTGTCTACTTTCTGCAGTGGTTTCCAGCATTTCAGACCTCTCTTTGTGTTATCTGATAGACACTTCCTGACCACAGCTGTCTTGGAACCCCGCTTTAGTGGAAGAGGTTAAAATATTCTTTGGTAAAATTATACATCCCATGCAGATTAGAAAAACTGATGAGAGAGCTGTTGACAGTTAACTAACCATTGTGTTTGATCAATTCCAACAAAAACAAACTTGGATCTTGCACTGATTAAATCTTTGCAACTAATCTCAACTTGGCCCCCCAAGCAATGTAGTATTTTTCATCTATTTATCTTTGCTGAGTCAATACATTGCAATTTGATTATAGGGCTTACAGTTTAGTTGGATACAAAGTTATGTTTTAAAAAAGAAAAATATGTGAGAATGGTTCTTATAGTTACTACTTTACATATTTCTGTTGATCAGGTTTGGGTACAGCTGCTGTTATTTTCTTCCTTACTTCTCTATTATTTCCTGCATCAAGCATCAAAAGAATGAAAATGACCACGCATAACGTCCCCTTTGTTTTGTCAGTAGTTAGACACTAGCCTCCGGTGGTTTTACCCCAGTGTAATTCCACTGTTTATGAAAAAGTATATGCTCATCATTTGACTTGTCATGGGGTATTAAGAAACGACTGAAGGCAATTGTGTTTCATGTGTATGATTCTGCAAGTATCCCCATGTAACCCTATGTAAACCGATAAACAGATGGGCCATAGAGCATATACTTCAATGCAACATAATGCAGCCATCAGGGAGAGAGACACAGACAACAACTGTTAGCTTATAATCACCCTTGGCTAAAGTGTGTGAGCATTGGCTGCTGTCTCCTCTGGAGCCCCATGGTAAACAACTGTCTCCTTTAGAGCCCCACAGTAAACAGCTCTGGACAAGACAACACACCTAGTCTTAAATGACTTGTTTTTTCACTTTGTCAACGTCATTTCGAGCTAAGAGTCCTGCTGGCACCAAGCATCGGCCGAAGCCAGGAACAGGGAGGGGGTTTGGCATTGAAGAGTAGTAGTCTGGCCAGGCCTGGTGTCTGTGGCACATGAGAAGGCGACAGAGAGGACCACGGCCGTGCCAAGCTGGGGTCAAAAAACCTGGCCCTAGGCAAAGCGTTGGTGTGAGGCTCAGACACTTGTATATGTCATATAACAGATGAAGCTTTTAAAATGGAAAAACAGCAAAGGGAGAAGAGAATTAAAACTTATAACTAGTACTCAAGTCAAAGTACTATTTTGTCACTGCACCTGATAGATTGTTCCTGCCACATTGAAGGATTGGTCAGGACTATACCGTTTATCATAGCATGATCAAACCAGGACTAAAACAGGACCAAACCAAGTTTAAACCAATGCCAAAATGGTACATTTGTATCTAAATGATAGATTGTCCCTCTATTTGTTTATTGATAATTTCTTTCTATTTTGTGCAGTAAGATCTTGAGGAAGAAGGATGACTCAGTGAACACACAGCACACTAACAGCCTCCCCAAATATAAGAAGGTCAGGGAGACATGCCAGCAGGCCGAATTCCAGACGCCATGCGAGCAGCCCGGGCAGGTAAAACAAACACACCCACAGTGATCACATGATTTTGTATCTTCAAACGGTCATGAACATAAATGATCTCCTCCCCCTCTCCACATCAGTGCCTTTCCTTTCTACAGTAATGCCTTGTGACCTTAGAGTATGTTACAGCTGTTACCGCTTGAACTTTTACTCTGCCGCCACAAATCAAACGTCCATTTCCAGAACATCACTTGGCTCATAATTGGAGCCTTTAGCGCTATTTTGTGGTTCACTCACATTTTGTACTGCTCTTTAATCTTGCACCATTAATTTGTTGGCAGACCAACGACTCAGTGTAACGGTGAGTTGGAGCTCATACTTTTGAACAATAGAAATGGCAACGCTACAAGATCCAGGTAGTGAGTGGTTTATTAATAAAATCCAGACTGTTATCATTGCCTTAAAGTGCATTTTGAAGAGGAACTGAAATTATGTCTTAAAGGGCCCATATTATGCCATTTTCTGATCTATGTTATAATGCCTGAGCTAAAATATACCTGGAGTTATTTTTTGATTAATTAACAGTGCTGATGTTTAACACACCTGTCGTGGTGAGCAGAAAGTGCTCCATTGTGTTCTTAACTCTATACATTTTCACTAGAATCATTTGGATTGTTTCATTAATGGAACTGCCAATCTCTACCAAATGAAAGGTAAAAGGTACTTATTAACTCAGACTACCACTAAATGAAATCACAAGGGGGAAAAGAGCATTTTGAACTTTGCATACACAGACAGACTAATATTAAATGATTACTCAAACATGTGTGAATGAAACAAAACACAACTCTAGATATGGTTTTAATTAGGTAACAGCATCTCTCACAAGAGTCAATTTAGTGTAATATAGGACCTTTAATAAACAATGTCTGATCATAGGTCCACATTTAGAGCAGGGGCACTTGTGAAGTAGATGTATAGAAATGGTGTGATTGAGGCATTAGGCATTTACATCATAATGTGGAGCTGAATTACACCAAGTCACAAGTGGCTTGTCTGGCATGATTTAACATGGCCTCCCAGTACGTGCCCTAAAAGGCCATAAAGCTGAGAAAATGGTGCTGTGTGCAGCTGCCGTGCCTTTATAGTTTCCTCTGCTGGTCTGTCCCAGTGCAGCACTTGTCTCTTTCTACTACATGAACCCATGAAGTCGTATTCACACAATGAGAGCATTTTCAGAGGAATAGACAACATGAGCACCAGTAAACTTCAAAGAAATCCAATATGATTTACTTAAAAGTGAACTGTTTTTATTCTGACCACAAAGTCCTGCATTGGACATAGTGAAGAGGGCACAGGCAGGCCTCTTGTCCCAGTGCGGCTCTCGTCATTTGGAGTTTGACCACATGATGAAAGAATCACTTGTTTGTGAACATGTCACCAGTCTTATGGGAAATGACTGCCTCTGTTACTGTGTGCTGCAGGAGACATTAAACACAATAGCGGGACTCTGTTTTTATCTGTCGCTTTCTGACTTCACTGCTGCAAAAAATCCAGAGTGAAATCCAGAGTTTATGCTTATAAACAAAAGGGTGTTTTGTGTCTGTAGAAATTTGGTCATGTTTAATATTAAATGACAAGTCATACAAAAAAATAAATTAATACTTTTTTTTTAAAAAGCGAACTATAAAGAGTAAAAATACTACAAGAATGATGGTAAAAAAGAAAGAACATTAAAAACAACAACTCCAAAACAGAATTTTCATACTGAACAGCAGCAACTCCATGCCTGCTGTTCCTTTCAGATATAACCCCTCTGTTAAACCCCTGTTTTCGGTCGATTGTGATATGAACCCACTACATGAAACCTGATCAACATTATGAAGGTTTTTTTGGACTGCTGTTCCCACACTTTACCCCAGATCATCTGTGCTTCTCTCTGCAGATGTCTTTCTTCCATTTGTACAAAACATCACCCTCTTCATGTCCATTAGCCCCTGCACTCCCACTGCACACACAGATCAACTTTGAAAGAGATACAGGGGGGATTTAGAAGTGTGCGTGCAGTGTAATGTTTTAGTCTGCTGACGCACTTGGCATGGTCTGTGTGTGACAGAGGCCTTTCTACATCAACCTAAATCATGTCATGTGGTCTCTTTATTTACTTTATTTATTCTAGTTTCTTGCACCAGCTGCATTTGATGATCTTTTTTATTACACAATCTTGTCACTCCCTGTGACTAAATTCTTAATAAAAACAAATGTTATTTCAGATAATCGCACAATAAAAAGTTGTTAACCAAACAAAGTCATAACATGTACTTGGCTTCAAAATGTCAAAATCAAATATTTCAATAATCCATTGGTGGTTTTCAATTGTTTGGTGAAAATGAGTTATAAACACTAGCTATGGGACTGGGTTTGGGTTAGCTTTTATTATTTTATTTTGTTTTTGTCTGTTGACAGAAATGGCACTGTGTGGAGGAGATTACTGGGAAGTGGCGCATTCAAAAGTGTAAAGGGGGGGGCGTGAAAGAGGGCTCCAGGAAGAGGGTCCGCAGCCTGAAGCCTCGCAGCAGCTACGAGCACAGAGAGAGGGGTTGTGAGTGCGATGCTGCCCTGCTCAAACCCACACGAGCAGACCGCCGATCACAGAGGCAGTTCTCCTCTGGCCACCGTGAGTACAGCAAGCACATAGGCTTACATTTCATATGCTTCATATCATAAGCCTTTGTCATTTTTTAAGCTTTTCAGAATGATCAGAACTGACTACTATTTTTTGGCTGTAAAAGTCTTAATAAGTCTTAGTAATGTGTCAAGGAGCTACTCAAAGCGTCAGGTGCAGCAGGGCCTGGAGTGTAGAATGAGAGAAACAACTCAGCTTGGCCAAGTTTGTGGGACTTGAAAAAATATAATCACTCTGGCATTATTAGTATTGAATATTGGGTCAGTATTCATTAAGGCATTGTGCATTCTGAGAAAAAAGACACATCCTGGTCGTACGCAGTTATCCTATTAAATACACAAATCTATAAATAAATCCGATATTTTTCAATAAACCAAAAGTAACAGCAATAGTCTATACTGATTGTCACAACATTAATAACCAGATGTTATGGTTTTTCATTTGTAGTCTTGTGCCCTCTAGTGGATCTAAGACAAACTGCAGCCAGGTCAATTGCCGCATATTAATTATTTGTCTTTTTACTGGCAGGTTTCCGGCCGCGATTCGTCCACACTCGTCCTGCCAGGTCGCTCTCAGTTGAATTTGAAGGTCAGATTTATGATGTGGACCTCCAGGCAGATGACCAGTCTGCTGTGAGGCGCAGGGTCATCTCAAAACGCCACTACAACCCCGATGACACCGCTCTGGAAACGGACGATGGTTCAGAGGAGATGCTGGCAGATGACACCAATGCTGTAGGATACCCCAACTCAGTCAGAGTCACTCACAAGTAAGAGGTTATTTTACAGAAATAGTATCAGTACTATTTATGACACAATTTTACCATTTCTAGGTGTTACATCTTAATGAATGACTCTGTACATTGTGAACGGGAAATCTACCAGTCTTCTAAAGCCTGGAAGGACCACAAGACCTACGTGGATCAAGAGGTGTGTACTCAAAACTAATTTAGCTCCTCATTGATGGTTTTCTGGTATTTCAATTGTAAGACAGGTATTTTTATATACCTAAGCAATTTATTTCCAAAGCTAAAAGCCAAATAAATAAAACACCTTACACTGTTATATGTTATATACTTTATAGCACATTTGTCAGGTGCGTGCTAGTAGAGAGTTTGAAGCATTTAAAGCTTTACTCATACCTGCTGTAAGTTCCTCACTTGGCCACTAGAGGCTGAACTGATGTAGCGTACCCTCTTTTATGTTTTGCAGATTGAGGCCCTCCAGGATAAGATCAAAAACCTGCGTGAAGTGAGGGGCCACCTGAAGAGGACACGGCCAGACGAATGTGACTGTGGCAAGAAGAGGTTTGTAGTCCGCATTTCACCTTCAAAATACTTCTGTCTTTAGGCTTCAATTCTTATCTTTCTGTTTATAAAAGCAGCTATTTTAGCAAAGGCATCAGAAACAAGGAGAAATTGAAGAACAGAAAAAATCAACTTCACCCATTTAAGTGAGTTGGTACTCTTGTTTGTCCTGTATAGTGCCATCTACTTTAATAATCCATCGTAATAAAACTCACAATCACCACCTCATATTTTACCCATTTGTTTTGAAAATAAGTTTGTGATTGTAATTACTTACTCCATTACCTCCCATAACCAACCATGTGACTGTTGCTGCATGAGGATAGTTATTTTGTGACATTTTGTTTCATTTTGTAAATTACGTGTAATAGAAGCATGAAGTTACTGTAACTGTGCATGCATTATAATTGAAATGAATCAACTGAGCCTTACTTCCCGAACAGTGCATTTATCTTGTGGTATGGACAAAACTGTATTGAAACAGACTGTAAGAGGCTACAAAGTAATTTCAGGCAGACTTTAATATTGCAAGAGCTTAAAGATAACAGCTAACACATTGTCTAATTGTGTGTCATCAGCATGATCTCCTGGACGTTCCCAAACTCCTCTGCTGCTGTTCCTTGTCATGTTTGTAACCCATTTTTAAATTGTGTCTGTCCTCTAGGGAAGCGGCACATGAGGTAGACGCTAGAGTGCAGTTGTACAATGAGATCCGAAGACGCAAGAAGGAGAGGAAAGAGAAGAAGAGACAGAAAAAGGGGGATGACTGCAGCCTGCCCGGACTCACCTGCTTCACACATAACAATGACCACTGGCAGACAGCGCCATTTTGGACCAGTGAGTGACACTTGTTTATAGCATTGGTTGAAGATATAGCAGTGTCCAGTTTTTCCGAGCAAAAATAATAAGGTTAGGTTAAATTAGTATAGTTTTGACCTGATTTTGTTAGCTTATCCCTCACTGATAAGGGTAGATGATATGCTTTGGTTGATTATGAAGTACCTCTTTTTGTAAATCACCTTGCAAGTTTCTACTCTTTTTATATGCATTTATTTTTTAAACTAGTTACAGCTTTTGACGGATACATTTCTAGCCTCTTCTGACTGATATTTAATTACAAGAATCAACATTGTTCAACCATGAAAACAATAATAAAGATGGATAGTTATAAGTTAACATGTTCATTCCTAGTGGGAGGATTCTGCGCTTGCACCAGCTCGAATAACAACACTTATTGGTGCCTACGAACCATCAACGAAACCCACAACACTCTGTTCTGTGAGTTCTCCACTGGTTTCCTGGAGTATTTTGACCTCAACAGTGACCCATACCAGGTGGGTGAACATCTGCCAGCGCCTCTACCTCTGTCCATCTGTGTTTTGCTATAAAATGAGCAGCACACCTCATTAAAGTCCATGTCTAGTTTCTCATTACAAAGGCATGCAGGAGAGTCTAATATTCTGTTATGTTGTGTTACAGCTAACCAATGCTGTATATAACGTGGATAGAGATGTACTGAACTCTCTCCATGCCCAACTGATGGAGATGAGGAGTTGCCAGGGATACAAACAGTGTAATCCACGTCCGAAAGGCTTGGACACAGGTAAATATAACAGAATACGTCTCTTAAATACATTTTTTGTATTGGGACATGGTTCACTGGGTGTAGAAGTAGTCATTATGCCAACCATGACTGAAACAGATTTAACAGAAACCAAATCACTACATTTAATCTATGGCCACAGGACACTGTAAAGTGTTAATCTATTTCAGTCTGGCTGGTGTGTTTGCCTCTCTTTTGCATGCTGCATGTGAATGGGGACCATCCACTCAATTGTATTTCACTGTTTCAGGTGGAGCTCAAATCATCATCAGTTTGACTTGTTTGAATGTGAATGTCATAATCACACACTTTATTTTTTTTTACCAGACTGTTGTGTTCTCCTGGAGTCTGTCCACATGCATTTACTTTTCTTTCTCTTGATTCAATTATATTGTTTTGTGCCACATACAGTACAAGTCTATAAAAAGCTGCATATAGAATTTATTTCATAGCTGCGGAAATATTATTATTGAAAGGTTTCTGTGCGCCGCAGCTGAGGCCATCATTTCATTTGTTCACCTCTGTAATCTGCTGTAGAATTTAATGGAATCACCACATGGAGGGACTGTGCCTTCAAGCTATGGCCCTGCCATTAGGTGTGCTTAATAAGTAATACCACAATGACCTAAGTCTGCCACAACATTTGTGTGTGGTACTGGTCACACTGATATGTCCTGAGGAGAAAACTCCACGTCTGTAATTAGGATGTGCAGAGTGGAGCAGAGCACTGCTTGACTGCACTGTAAAAACTGATTGTGTTTCAGCGTTGGCACGCAGCACTTGTCATTAGGCATGCCAGCACTTTTCACAGAACAGACCAAAATCTCCTGGGTGACGCCAAACCAATCAAATAGCTCTTGTGGTTCCATCGGGTGATGTTTGAGTTGGAAGATGTTATTATTAAAAAGTCAAATTAAGTGAAATGGATCTAGCAGTTATATGCATCTATTTGTGGAGTGTGACTTCAGTACCATTATCACTTCAGTTTGGAGCATGTTGCACTGAGAAGAGAAAAACTCTGCTGAACTCCAAACCCTACCTCCTCACATCCAGTTTCTCCAGTCTCCTTCTCCTCAGACTTACTTTCCAATAATTGCATCATTTGTCTTTAGACTGTAGCTGCAGCAGTGCATGAAGAGAGTCCAGTGTGAATGATCTGTCTCCCTCACACATCTGTTCGAATCAAAGCGTTTAACAAACCATTGCTTTTATTTTTCTGATCAGGAGGTAAAGATGGAGGAAGCTATGAGCCGCACAGGTATCCACTCTTTTTGTTTGTCTTTAACACCTGCATGGGCTCAATTGCCTCATTTCCACTAATCTGCCTCTGGAGCGTGGGCCTTGGTTTGTGGCTGCATGTGGGGTTGTGCTAACAGTCATAACGATCGTTGTTTTATTCATGCAGCTTCATTTCATTGTGTCTGTGCACTCAGTCTCCCTCTTATTCTGCCAGGCAATTTCAGCACAGCAAAGCTTGATACCCATAATAAAATATTTAAGATAATGCTGAAATAGCCTGGTCCAATCAACTGAATAAAAAACTTCAGTTTTTCTTCCCTGAGAGTCAGACACCAAGTGCACATCCATGCATGATATCAGGGGATTCAAGTTTCAGCTGTTGGAACAGTTTGTTGGGCTACACCCACTAACTTCTTTTAGAATGGAAAGAGGACCTGTACAGGTGTGTGGGTGTAGCCTACTGCCTTTATTTCACACATGCATCATGCACCATCTTCATCCCCTGTCCATCGATCATCAGTCATTGCATTAGGTGTGGTGGACATTAGTTGTGAACAGTAGAGTAGTGGTGGGATGTGTCTCTGACTGACCTGTGTTTCTGGCCCTGCTCACCAGGCAGCAGCAGCACCGACAGTGGTCAAAGAGGAGACCGAGCCTGTCCTTCCTGTGAGTCCTCCAGCCTCTGTTCTCAGGGAAAGAGACACTAGTTTATATACACAATACTGGACCTAATTTGGCTTTGGAAATTTGACGCTTTTATTTGATTTCCTGGGGTACCCCATCTGTACTTCCCGCTGCTTCTTGTTTTCAGTTATTTTGTTTTACAGGTGATTTTTCAGTCGAGTCCAGGCCTTTCATTTACTGTCCCATTAACTATGAGCAGCACATGTTTTTGCAGTCTTTTTGAAATGCAAAGCTTAAATGGCATGTGTTGACTAGTTGTGGCTGTGGTTTTATGCTTTGGTTAATAATGCTGCTCTCTAAATGTACCTGTGTGTTGCTTGAGCCTTGATGATGCTGGTTTAGTGAGAACAAGAAGCTTGCACTGCTGCATGCTTGTATAACAGGGAAAATGTCCGCTCAGATTCTCACACATGTCTCTCTTTGGCAGAACACAACCCTTATGGGACGGACGACAGGGTTAAGCTCCCCAACCTGACGGATGAGGAGGTGAACTGGCAGGGACTGGAGGACCTTTACAGCATCAACGACAGCCTTTATGAACCCAGGCCTGACTACAGCCCCAGCCCGGACAACTGGGACAACTACGAGAAGGAAGTAGACTATATGTTTGCACTGCTACTTGACTTAAACAAACACAACCAAACCCAAACACTTGACGACTCCACCCTGCCAGAGCTGGGCTCCGGGGCCGGGGGAGGACTGGACGAGGGCAGTGGAGCTCTCTGGCCTGGATTTATTGCTGAGGTCCAGACCACGACCCTCACCCCAAGTACAACACTACCAGCTGCACAAAGCCCTATTCCCCTACAGGACGACCCACAGGGAACTCTAGTGAATGAGCTGCCAGAGAGCGGCCATGCCAGCCCCTCTCCTCCTGTCAGGTCAGCTAGTGTGCATAGCGCCCCCGTGTGGGTGCAGCTGGAGGACATTGAGGGAGAGGAGGACTTTAGTGGAAATGGACTGATAGAGTTAGAGATCAGACACGACCACCTACTGCGCACACATAACAGCCTGCAGCCGCAGCCCCGGGGCCCACTGCCCCTGGTGGACCAGGAGGACATTTTCCAGGCCCAAGGATACCTCCCCTTCTCCCCTCAGACTGTAGGGCCTGCAGCGAAGGCCAGCGCCCCCTCTGGTCACACGAATGCTCCGCACAGCACCCCCTCTGGACAGACCAGTGTTCTGCGTGCCGATGGGGCCCTTCTCACTGTGGACTTTGAGGGCAGTGGCTCGTCCTCACAGCTCTCCAATCAGACACTCTGAGGGGAGGAGCATGTACTAAGCAGCCAATGAGCCGCTTGTCACCATAGAGACAGTGACCAGGAGATGAGCTTGCCAAAGGCGAGTGATGCACCTCAGTAAGAGTTGTATATTAAGTATTAAAGTTATTGTTTATTTTTTTACAGGTGCCTACATATTAGTAAAACAGTGTTATGTTTTCAAAATATATATTTAGAAAAGAAAGCCTTAATGCAGCTAAAGAGAGTATTGGGATAAAAGAGGATTATTCCATCTGAAAAACACCTTAGATGTTTGAGTGGTGGGACCTGTGACTTCAGAATAGTTCACTATAGTTTGTCTACTTTCTCTGTCACAGATGGTTCACAGATGGACCACTCTCCGGTGGCTTCAAGGCAACATCGCCCCCAAATGCACTTTTCCACACAGACTCCAACGTTTGTGTCTTTGACATATTGTCCAGTGTAAATTCAGATTTTATGAAATATTTTATTTCTACTGACTACTTTTTAAAGCTACAGCAAGTGCTGGAGACATTTCTAAAAAGGTTACAGAATTAACATAAATAATAATAACGTTTTTTATTTAAAAGACCTTTTAAACATTTTAAACTAAACTAATTATTATAACATGCCTTTTCCTTTGTGATGTTGTCATAACATTGGACAGTCATGAAGTTCTATAGGTAGTATATAATAATGCTTCATGTAGTAGCACCTATTTCAGGCAGGTCACAGAAATGCATAGCTTGAGCTTTTATTTTGCATGTTAGAGCACTATTTCAGTATATCACTAATTAGTTGCACCACTGCACCAGTTTGATTTGCAGAGTTTGCACATTGGTCACATTCACAGCAGATTTCAATGTAATGGTATTGACCATTAATTATCACAGTGGGTCACATGGCAGAGGTTTGTTATGTAACTTTTTTGGAAATGCCACCAGATTAATCTATGTAGTGCTTGATAATCCAGTGTAGTGTTGCAAAAGGCCCATTCATTTCAAAAGCAAATGTTTTGAACTTAGTCTATGACAGTGCTGATGCAGTTGTATGTAAAACCAACATGCTAATTTGTTTCAATAAGCTATGGATTTTATGGTGCGCCTACACATGTGCCATCTGGTTAAGTGGCTTTACAGAAACATATAAGCTGTCTAGAATCGTGTGTTCAAAAGCCATGAAGCTGAAATAAACCCTTGCAACCTCCTAAATATTCTCTCACTTTTTAATGTGCCTGATCTTCCTCCACATTTTTAGGGTTGTGACTTGCTTTTGTGTCTGGAAAATCATTCACACTTGCATTCATTTACTTTTAGGTAACGTTTCGTTTCATGCAAAGGCAAGATTTACTGAATTGTTAGTGTAGTGCTGTGTGGGGAAAAAAAAAAAACTCTCTTTGGGTTGTTTTCATTTAATGACAAATATCAAGTATTCAAGGCATTTGTAAACCAAACGTTCACAAACATCAATTCTGCTCCTGAGGAACACTAAGCGATAAAAGCTTGACTTTCAGATTACAGCTAGAATCCATGGAATTCACTGCTGCGTCCAAACTGGAACACAGGAAAATGTTGGAGTCATCGCTCAGTAGCAGTTCAGGCGTTAGGAGTGTGCAGATTACTGGGCATTTACATGGTATACATGAGCGATGGGACATAAGGATTGATTCTCTACCCCTCCCAGTGGAAAACAGCGCACCAAAAACCACCAGAAGCTCAAAGTTGCATCAAAGTGCTTAAATTGTAATCATGATAAGATTACTGTTTTATAAACTTTTTTAACTTTTAGACCGATTTCAAACACTACATTGATCTAATAAAGTTAAATATCATAAAAGTACAATTGCTCAATGCTGTTTATGACTGTTTGGTATCAACATATCAGAGCTTGTGGTTGGCTTAAGTTTTTGGGAGAACTTCAAAATGTGATCTAATGAACACTAAAGAGTAGTAGAGAATCATTACAAATATAGGTCCCCAAGTCAATAAGTTGTCTTTGGGCTGAAAAATACATTGGAAGTGTCCCTGACCCTTTGCCCACTGTGAATACTGTTTAGGCACAAGACTTTTTAAATTTTTTATTTTTTTTTTCCTTTTTTAGATTTTAATTTCCTCCTACAATGTCATGGATTAGTTAATAAATATGTTTCTACCTATGTGAGCTCTAAAATATGTCTCATTGTCAGTATGTACAATAATCACATATGAATATATTGTTTGAGGTACTGAGATCACAATACTATCATCAACCATGCCATTGAAACACCTCAGATGGCAGAATATGGTCTTGGTCGAGAAAATTTTAATTTATCACTGCATTGATTTTACTCTAAACACAAATCATAAAATACTTTTATCAGACTTGCCTCACAACTCATCCCTCAAAGATAATACTATTATGGTAACACACTCCTTTTTTTAAAAATCAAATTAAAGATGTATTGAATAGATCATGAGCCATGGTATAAAATGAACAGTTACATAACACATTGCACAGCCTTGCTGTCAAGGAAAAATCAAATACTCTGCCCCTGGCCAAGAAATAAATAAATGCCATGTTTTGTTCAGTCAGTCTTTGGAGTGCTAAACTTAGTGCAGTGATCACTTGATAATACACATTTGAAGTTACAGTAGGTTTTGACAACAGCAACATTCACCTGCCTTCACACAATCATGTCTCTGTCCACCAGAGGGCACCAAACAGCCATGAACAAAGAACCAGTACTGGACTGCTGATAAAAGGGGTTTCCTTTGTTTACATGCTTGCAGCACTTTAAAAGCCTAGACTACAAGAGAACTACTATGTACATCTGATGACCATTGTAATGAATAGAATACAATACAATGCCAAAAGAATGCAACAGTTCCACTGATATGAGGGCCATATTCTCTTTTTGCATTTTCTGTTTCAAGTGAAATTCCATGTTATGGACAGTAGCTTCAGCACATGGTCAAAGATGAGACGCCTAAATCCTGTTTATTTGGCTAAATAGAATGAAAGAGTGAGATGTATTCTAAAATGGTACCACTGCGGCTTCTTGGCGTTAAGCTACATACATGTCAAGGCAAAGTTACTCCAAACAAAAGCCCAGGGCATCAAAGCAAAAGCTGTCACTCAGCTGAGAGGACAGTGACTGGCTCCTGTGCTAGCTCTGAACCTGGCAGCTAGCACACAACTCCGCTGGCCCAGACAGCCTGAGAGGCACTGTTAAGAAAAGAATAAAAAAGTCATGTAGAAAGTGATAATCAGACAAACGAGTGTTGTGTTCAGAGGTGGCCTGTACCTAAAGGCTCAGTGCTGATACCATGTACATGTGAGTGAGAGGAGGAGCTGTACACAAGTTTGCATAGTACAGATTGTGCTTTAGACGCTGTGGTGACGATGATGTCTGTACAGAGTAATGCCCTGCCTTTGAACAGTAGCACCTGGACTATGTCCGCCTCCTCTGAGGTGAGGCCATCTGTGATGTAGCTGATGATATGCTCTCAGTTCTGATGGACAGCCCTTACAGTAGTTATGAGGGCGTGAGAGGAGCGCCCCCTGGTGCCTGATCAGTGTAGATGAAGGCACATGTCACTGAGTTTCAGACATGGGCGGAGCCTCTGTGTTGATGGGGCAGGAAGATGGGTGGAGTTATTGCTTTAAGGGCGTTGCCAGGACAGCTGAGGCTGCTGTGGCCGCGGTTGAGCAGCAGAGCGGCTGGTGGCTCAGGCCGAGGTGGGATGAAGATGGGGCAGGAGCGTGTGCGGGCATGGCTCTTCTGCCCCCCTGCGTGGCAGATCAGTTCACTCACAGTGCCCAGAGGAGGGAGGTGCTGGCGCCAGCGCTCGGCCCGCTCCTCCTTGTGCTTTATGGAGTACCACGTGAGGAAAATGAAGACGAAGCCAACAAACTTGAGGCTGGCAGCTAGGCCGAAGTACACAAAGCGGAAAGAGGTGACGTCATATTCCCAGCACGAACCATGCACGCCACAGTCCTGCTGCCACAGCATGCATGTGGTGTCGATCACTGCTCCGAAGTAGATGGGTGTTGGGATATAGGCTGCAACAAGAGAAGGGGAGGTTAATGTTTTACAGCTAACAACACAATGAGAAATAATTCCCTTCTACAGTATTTCATGTAGCATGGCAAGTTGTCACACTTTTATACACAAATCTTTTACATTTATATTCCACTTGTCTCACTTTATTCTCAGTGACACCGTGAGTAAAGTAAACTTCCAAAAATCTCAGTTCCATGGCTTGGCCACTTGGTGGCACAATTTTGCTATACAGTATAGTCATTTCAATACCATTTTAAACCTCCCAGGATCTAAATCAGTATTTTATGCACACTTTTTAACAAACCAAACAACTTGGCTGGCAAAGTAAATTTACCAAGGTCTATATGTGCATTGGAGCATATGTATATAAAGATGGCTGACCTCTACTTTCACAGGTTGCAGCGAGACGCTTTAATGTTCACACAGCCATACCAAGATGATCACAGACATGTCAGAGCAGAGCCTAAGCCCACGGCTCCCCTGTTACACATATGCTCACTATACAGGTCCACTATGTAGAGATATGTGCCGTGAGACAGAGCAAAAAAAAAAAAAAATCTGAAAATGAAATGTGAGGAACAGCAGATGTAAATAAACTGTGCCCTAACTTGTCTTTTCTGTGAACTATGTTTGACCACCACAGCCTATGATAAATCTGGCTTCTGGGTAAGAAAAAAAAAATCTGTGAATGTTAATGAATAATGATTTTCCCACTGAATAACACCATTTTCAATCAAGGCACAACAAAGCTCATACCCTAAAGTGAAAGTGTGTTGACAAAACCTTACTCTTTAGAACAAAGAAAGTTTACATAAATGCACCAGAAGATTGTTATTTTAAAAGTTCAAACTTACCAAGAGTTCGGAGCAACACAAACTGCATTCCTAATGCAAAAGGCCTCTCTTGTTCATCCACGGACCTGGAAAAGCAGAAGATCAAGTCAGTTACACAAAACATAGGTCTCAATCGAGGGAGGACACAGATTCCACATATAGAGGGATATCTTTTTCTCAATGAGAAACTCAATATTCTTGCATGTTTTTGCAAAATTCACACTCTCCACTTTTCAGGTAAATGCCATAGCCTGAACCAATAGTATGCCTGAGATTTTAAGCAAGAACCAGTGAGCAGCACTGCACAGATGTGCACTCACAACGTAAAGATCATAGGGGCTGAAGATCATATTCATATCAGAGTAATTCTTCAGAGGCTTTGCTAACAAAACCGTTAACATCAAAAGTGACTCAACCATACAGCTGTATAATCTCTTAAAATAACACTATAGTGGAATACATTCACACCCAAACTTAAGTCTTCGGTTATTATTTGTTCCAAATAAATCAACCCTCTTTAGTGGACTTATTTGGTTATTATGTGTGCTTCTGTGAAAGGCAAGCTGCTCCATGAGTTGCTCATCAGATTCAGAAAATGTGTTTAACAATTTAAAGGTTGTATGGAGGATTTTTTTTTTAGTTTCAAACTGTCAGTGAAAGATTAAAATACCATTACAGAGACGCAGCAGCTTTGTAATTATGATGACCAAAAAAAAAAGAAGAACAAAAATCTATCAACTGTGGACGTGTTGAGGCCAGATAAACATCAGCCATTAGAAAACGAGGCTCCCTCATTTTCTATTGGCTGTTGGGTTGTCAATCAAACTCCCTAGTCGCTTCCTCGCATTTCGCACAAAGTTTGTCGTGACAGCGGACGAGAATCCACGACCGGTTCGCCACAAAAGAAAGTCCGTTTTTGAGGTCGCTGAAAGAAGAAGAGAAGAGGAAAAGGAGCAAAGCCAAACTGAGGTGATTCTTGGAGATCTCGTCCAGCGATGGTGCGACCGAAGCAGACGAAGGGTCTAAAAACTGACGCGTCGGTCGCTGAATTACTTCTAGACAGGTCACTTCAACAGTAATTCTGAATGCGCACAAGGACTGTCGCTGTATTTCTCTTCCCTTAAAAAAAAAATCCTCTATACAACCTTTAAACAGAGCTCCAGTGTGCCTCTCACCTGAGAGTGACAATGATAGCGGAGGGCTGGGCACAGGCGGTGATAAGTGTGACAATGAAGAGGAAGATGAGGAAGGGGATGAGGGTGTTGCAGGTGCGGTCACATTTTCCGGACACAGCGTAGCCGTTCTCATTCAGGTATGTCTTCACTATGACGAGCTG